GTGAGTTTGTTGGAATACCTCAAAGTCCCTTGTACCTTCATGTTCCTCTGGGACCTGTCTTTCCTTCCCTAGATTGGCAGTTGGCCTGGGTCGTAGGAGGGGACCAAGTCTTTCATAAACCCTTGGGTCATTGATCTTCGAGCATATGTGGAGGGGATTCTCTTGACATTGCTTTAGGAAGTCTCAGCAATCACGATAAACGACTTTCGATCCTTCCAACCCTTATGCAAGAAAGTGTTTTCCTCTACTTCTTCTACTTCGGGTCGAAGCATCTAGGTTGAGAGAAGTCTCATGTTGATCAATGTTTTAATGATTATCTCGCTCCTCATCAGGGATACCTATGTCGAAGGGAGGTGACCCTCCGTGTTGGGGGGCACCCAGATGATGGTTGATGTCTACAAGGGCAACGAGCTTACGTGTTTGAGTATGCCTAGTTTCGTGGAGCGTCTCAAAGAGCTTCTCATACTGCTCCTGGAGGACCCCATTCTTCATTGCTATCTTTTTGTTTTGAGCTTTTAGCTCATCGACTTTAGCTTGAAGAGCAACATTTTTTCCTTCCTTATTTCGTTGCTTCGCACTAGGTGCAAAAGAGGTGTCATTCTGTGTATTATGGCTTCCTTCGCTCCTCATGTTGGAAATGGATGCCTGGTCAAAAGAGAGTGTACGAATGGTGGAAACCAACTTGGCAAAGCTGAAGAGAGTGGGAATAAGTGTCATTCCCACAGACGGCGCCAAATGTTGATGCACAAAATCAGTGAGGACTTTGGTACAATAGAAAGTGTTAAGTTTGTGACCTTCGCTAGATTGCTCCGGCACTAGTGTGGATAAGTATGCAAATGGATAGAGACAGGGAAGCAAACACAAGATGTACATGGTTCACCCAGATTGGCTACGTCCACGGAGTAGAGGAATTCTCATTAATTGTGAAAGGTTTACACAAATGCATAGGTTCAAGCTCTCCTTTAGCGAGTACTAGTGAATGATTTAGTACAAATGACATTAGGAAATATTGTGAGAGATTGATCTCTATTTATAGAAGAGAGTTTCTAGTTTCATTCTGACATTGACACGTGTCGTGTTGTGATTGGCTTCTGATGTTGACACGTGTCGCGCTATGATTGGCTTCTGATGTCGGCACGTGTCGTGATGTGAAAATTATGTTGACACTCAAATTAACCCTCTTTTTATCAATTGTAGCAAAGTATGTAAGTAGGGATCGTTCTAAACCGGGGATTAGGAGGGATTGCAAAATCACTTGAAAACTGACTCAAATATGTAAAAACAAGTTTAAAACACTAAACTAGACTCAAAGAATGCAAAACTAAACTTTAAAACACCAAAACAAACCAAAAGACTCAAAACAGCACCAAAACACTCAAAACTGACTTAAAAACACAATCTGGGCAGTTTTGGACACTAAGCACCAAATTGGACGAATTTGGGTTTTAACTTGAATCAAAACACTTAAAAACACAAAGTAAAACACTTACTAACTAATTTGACACTTTAAAACAAAGGGGGATTGGTTTTGGACGAATTTAAAAACAAAACAAACTTTGTAAATTAGAACAGATTATAAAAACGAATTTGATTTAAATGGGTGAATGGAAGGCTAGCTAAGGGGTTCATCTCCACACATGTTATACTTGCATACAAAATGATTTCCAATTGCTTTTCAATAAACCATGAATTCTCAATGCCCCAAGTTAATTAGTTCCGCTTAAATTAACCCTCAGATTTTCCTAACGTTATTGAATTGGATGATTGCATACGACAACCCAAAACATTCCCCACGAGTCCCCTACATGATTGCATAATAGAGATACAAGCAAGAATCATTAAGTTCTATGAAAACCATAAGCATTGACGAAGCACTTGTTACTATGATTGCATGAAACTTATGCCAAGAATTTACTTAACGCGATTGAGATCATCAACCTTTACTACTTGTGAATATAATTCCATAACGATTAGGTGAAATTTCCTTATATCCTAGCATTCAATTTATGCATGATAATTAAGCGTGCACTCTCAACCAACACACACAAATCAATGTAATCCACATAGATAAGTAAATTGAATTCACAACTTATGAAACGCAATTAGAAGTAATCAAATCATAACGCAAGCATAAACATGTATTTCGAATCCCCCCCTAGCCAAGGGGGGTTTAGTTCCTCATATGCACAAAACAAAGAGAATTGAATTTAAACATTGAAATCAAAGGAAAAGAAACACCTAGAAATTCCAGCGACGCGAACTTGAATTGCATGAACTTCCGAGCTTCCTTCTCCTCCTCCTTGGTGCGGCAAAGGGTCTAGGGACTAGTTTAGGACCTTAGGTGTATGGATGCATGGTTATGGATGGATGTAGTAGTGTTTAGGGGAAGGGAATGGTGCGGCAAAGGTGTGGAGAGAGTTTGGACGAATTTCTGGAGTGAATTCTGAATTGTGGTGAGTGGTGATCTGATTTAGGGGTTAATAGGAGTATATATAGGCACTTAAAACCCTAGGGTAATCAGATATGGACTTGGATAACCCAAATCCACAAGGAAATAGGTCTAACAATCAGATTTTGCAAGGGAAAAGGTGGATAAGGCTTCTAGATGGCCTTGCAAGGCAAGGAAATCAGGTTTCTAGAAGGGATAGGTGCGGCACTTTAAAGGATAGGGCAGATTAGGGCTTCTAGAAACCCTCTAATGCAAGGAAAACTCACGGCAAGGATGGATAAGGTTTCTAGAACATGGATAAGGTATCCTAAATGGATAAGGACTCCTCATTGCATTTGGAAACTTTGCCTATTAGGATTAGGAAACCTTGTCTTTGTCATTCCTTCTTCATTCTGGATTCCTTCTCCTTCTTGGACTTGGAAATCTTCTTTGTAGCTGCAACTTGATGCCATTTGGATTTAACTTTCCTACTTCAAGTAGGAAACCTTGTTTGAGTAGGAATCTTCATCTTCAAGGAATCCTAATTCAACTAGGAAACCCATTTTGACTAGGAATCCTAATTCAACTAGGATTCCATCTTCACTTAGGCACTTTCCTACTTCGACTAGGAAACCTTGTTCAAGTAGGAAACATCATCTTCAAATCTTCAATTTCGTCCATCCTCTTGACTCCAAGCATATGACATCCATTCCAAGCTCAACTTTGCTCCAAAAGGCTCCAAAATGCATTCTTTTGCATACTTTGCCCTTAGAACCTGAAAACACATAAAACTAGCTTAAAAGACTACTTTACTAAGCAAAAACACTATAAATGCACAAGAACAAGCTAAACTAAGGCGCATAAATATGCTCCTATCATGTCGCGCTGTGATTGGCCTCCTGGTTAGAGGGAAACTCTTCTGGGTCATTGACGGTATAACGTTGACCGGTGCTTAGTAGTTTCAGGATTGGTCAAGTATGGTACAAACACAAGGAACTCATAATCTATTTTTCTGCTCCTTTGATTTTATTTCAAGATCATGGCATTTATACTGATCAAGTTTTACCTATCTTTTAATAGCATCATCGAGTTTCCTGAATTTGCCACTCTAGTTGTAGCAAATTGCATACTACCAAGGGTAAGGGTTCAGGGTAAGTTCCATCTACTTTTGGTTGCTAATAAAGCAGCAAGATAGATTGCTCTGGTAGTTAATGTCTTCCTCTTTAATCCACTGTAGAATGAATCAACATCATCGATGATTCAATCACATATCACATCATCAATGATTCACATAACCAAACGTAACTTACCTGTGCTTCCACAGCACCACATTTATAAATATATAGATATATATATGCAACCATGAAATGCATATTCAGAATATAAAGGCATTTGGCATATTATTTCAAAGCATACTTTCCTAAAAATGCATTTCTGGGAAATATATCAAGTATATAAGTATATACTAAAAACAAAAGCCCACTCACTGATATGTCGACGAGTCGTAACCCCCGAGTTGCCAGTGGATACGATCGTCCTCGGGATAAGCCTCACCTCTTGGGAGCTTCAAATCCCTCGAAAACGTGTCGGGAGAATCCTACCAAAACCGACCACCTTCGAACCTCGTGATCCCGACGTCAAAACCGAGCCAATGAAGCACTCCCAGCTTCGTGAGAACCTTCTAGAGCTCGCTGTGAGCTTGGATTGTCCTGAAATGGGTACCTTTAAACTCGTATGGTCCTCACGAACGGTACCATTTTCTTCCTCGATCTGTGAAGATTTGGCTTGGTTCAAGGTTGTCCGTACGGAGGAGAGGGAAGAGAGAGTGAGTCCGAGAGAGAGTATGGGAGAGAAGAGAGAGAAAGGGTATGGATGTGTGTGTGTGGTTCCAAAATGTACACCAATCAAAACTCTTTAATCTTTTAGCTCTAATTGGGTCCAATTAGTTAGGGATAAAACTAATTGACCCAATTTCTTAAGGCAAAATAAAAACACACACTCGACGCTCAAGGGTAAATTCGTCTTTTCACAACCACGATAAATATTTCTCGGGATGGGCTGTGACATGTATATGTATATATATATATATATTTATATATATATATATATATATATGTATTAGTATGAAATAAAATTGCTTTCTGCCATTGATTATGAACATTTGTGCATAGGGTTGTGATTTTCTTGATCTGCTCTATCTTCTGTGGGATGGTTTGTGTTGGGGGGGGGGATGAGAATCAACACTTTGGGCCACCTGGTTTTTGAGGAGACAAAGACATATATGCATCAAAGGATCTCAAGTTATATTAACCTTTACCAAAGACATATATGCATCAAATGATCTCAAGTTATATTAACCTTTACATTAAACATTGTCAATGAGAGGACATATGGTAACATCCTTTCTTAATTTGCTAGGAGAAAATTTGCCTATCACCCTACAAACATGTATGAATTTATCTTCCTCATCACATCACTCATCACGTCTGACACTCGAGAATTTTTCATTTTCTCCAGTTCCCACAAAAAAAGAGAAGAAGAAAACATTGCAAATGATATTTACACATATTTGTACACGCATAAAGTGTAAATCATCCATATAGCATACCATATTTTATTATTTGTTTGCAACCTAAACCAAAATTATCCCACAAATAAAGTGAGGTGGGGGGAATAATATCAGTCCCCCAACAAGGAGATGAAGGAACAATTTAAGGCTAAGAGAGGTCCCTACTACTTATTTAAACTTTCTCTGATGAAAATTGGAACTTTTTCTGATGAAAATTGAAAATTAAGCATTAAACATATATGTGTTTACATAATTCGTCTAGTAGTACTGCTATGATCGATGTTTCAGCTTCATAGGACTATTAGTGCATCCTTCATGCATTTTGTACTGCTGCTGTTGTTTTGGTGAGAGAAAGCTGCTTTTGTTGGAGCTGTGAAAACAAGGCTTGGTTTTCTTGGACGAGGAGAAGCGCTTTTCTCCTCAGCTTGTTATTTTCTTCTATAATGCTCTGGTTCTCCATGTAAAGCTTCAAGTTCTTCATTTGCATCTCTATCTTTGCCCCTCCTCCTGTCTCTGCCTCTGTTGCTGCCGCTCCTGGTCTTCCCTTCCTGTTCCTGTGTTAAAAAACAAAATTTAAACACTAATATCTTTCATGATAAGAACAGAGAATAATAGAGAGGGAGGGGGGGCAGAGAGAGAGAGAGAGAGAGAGAGAGAGAGAGAAATGGGTTGTGAAGGAACAAACCTGTTAATTAGGCGGCGAACTCGAAAGTGGTTTTGCTTTGATGGCCTTCGAAGGCGAAGAAGAGTAAAGAGGACTAGATGGAGATGTTTCTGAGTTCAAACACATTGTTTCCTCTACAATTCAGTTGCTGCCTCGGAGGGAGAGAGAGAGAGAGAGAGAGAGAGAGAGAGTTTAAACTTGGAAAAGAGAAGGCTAACAGAAATGTGGTTTGTGAGAAATAAAGTTCTTGTTCTTTAAATAGGAGAGATGTCTGGGCAGAACCCAGGAGACAAAGGGTGAGCCACATGGCTATTTTTGTGTTTGTATCTGTACTTGAGAGAGAGAGAGAGGGCTTTCCATAGTAATGATGGCAATAGGAGCCATGATTACAAAGGCCAAGTAGAGTGATTGAAATTAAAAGCAGAGGGAGAATATGGGAAAAAGATATTTCGTTAGTATGCGGTAGTCTAAATTACGTTATTGAAATGTGTCGAATTTGGGTGTAAGATGACTAATGTATAGTCTTTATCGACGCGGACTTTAACTTGTATATATTTATTTATAATGGCACAATTCATACAATTAGATATGTGTTTATTTCTTTCATAACGTGATGGGTACATGAAAGCTTTGCTCTGTATAAAGTCCTAAGTTCGGTGACGAGAAAGACAGAAATATAGTTGTTTACAACTGGTAAAGAAAATGTTTTTCTCCCTCCTAAGGATGGGGAAGAGTGGAAGACTCTTTCATAGATGGGGATGGTTGAGACTAATTGAGAGGGGTTTGGGTTTTTGTTGAGGCACATGGGAAAATGGCTGTTATTCCAACTAGGCTTTAGCCACTTTGTTGAATTTCAGAAGTTTCCCCCTTCATGCATCCATTGTTTTTTCAGTCCTCAATGTGGAAGACAGATGACATATATGTCCATAGTCATGTGCCGCAATCAGTATGCAGTAAACCAAATCATTACTGTAGAAATCAAGAGGTTGAATAGTCTTGCTTGACAGCTTCATTGAGTACTAAGTGAGAAAACAATGGATGAATATTCTTAAAATTTTAAGAAGAGATTTTATTTTACATTACTTAATAATTAATTAATCAATAGACAATTACTTTGCTTTTTTTTATTTCTTTTAAGGAAAAACGATGTTATTAATACTTCAACTTAACTCAAGTGTAATCAACGTCGTGAAAGAGAACATCTTAAATGGACTCATTGAGTCACTCCGCTCTAGTGCAGTGCCAATGAAAAGTGCGAACTTTGCCAAACGATGGTCCGAAAGCTAATCTAAAGGATGGGCAATTGAACCCATGAAAGCCTTTAAGGGAAGGGATTCTCTTTTTTTTTTTTTTTTTTTTTTTTTTTTTTTAATTTTTAATTTTTAATTTTATAAAAATGAGTATTAGTTGAGGAGCCCACCCTATATCGAACTTTAACGATCCGAACCTGTTATTTCTCAAGTTGCACCTTGTAGATCATCCTTACAAAATATTAGCCAAATCGGAAATATTTGAGGTATCTAATTCAGTTCAAAAAAATTGACGAACACTTTATTCTAAGAAAAACATTGAATTTCATCGTGATAATTATATAGGCAAATCTTTCAGATTGAATTGAATTTTTACAAGGATGATTTATGAATCGAAACTTACAAAATAGATAGTTCGGATCGTTGAAATTCGATATGGAGTGAGTCCCATAACTAATCCCTATTTTTTAAATAAAATGAGGATCCCTTCCGTGCTGACCCCATTACATGGACAATTACTTTAATTAAGTCGACGATTCAATTGTACGTGAGTATTATGTATGGGTTTTGGTTCCAAATTTCTACGTGAAATTATGAAGGATAATTAACTGGAGAAGATTATATGTATGGATTGTGCATTTGGTCAAAAAGTTGGCGTTTGTTTTAATTAGTTCTTATCTTAATTTAGCCATTGTTTGTAAAGGTTGTGTTTGAAAGGTAGACGTAACCATTAGAACGCTCTTTGCTTTTACACGAGAAAATAATGTTTTTGCATGTCGTAATGTCAAGATTCAAACGTGTAGACTCAAACTTGGGGATGTAATCATTCCCTTCACTTGAAGATGTTGCCAAACACGAATATTCTGTCCTAATTGGATGATCTGGATTTTTACGGGACCATAATAAAAGTAATAATAATCTAAACCAATTTAAATCATCCAATGCTTGATGCATGGAAACTTTTTTTCTTTCTCTCCAAGAAAGACGAGTAAAAGTAAAAGAAAATATGAAATTAATAATTCAAGTAGTTCACACTGATAATCTTTGGATAGACAATTTGGAATAAAAACAATTCTTTAGGCTCCAGTTCCTACCTGTCTCAGCAGAACATATATAGTTGAACAAAAATATAGTTCGATGTTACTTGAAAAGAAACAAACTAAACTTAATAGTTACGCCTTTCATGAATTATAATAATTTGTAGTTAGAGTCTTAATCGTTCTAAGAAGACAACAACAACGACAAGAAAATACGCAACCACTTGCTACTGCAATTTCATTTTAGTTATACTAATATTAATATATGTATGGTATAGGAATCCTTTAACAAGAGGATCCCCATTTTTCTAAAAAAATGGGGACATCTTCTTGACCGTTAGATTGACTTTTAATGAAATTGTGTGGTTGAGATTGTGTAGCCTGTGATTAAATCTCAACCACACAATTTCATTAAAGTCAATCCAACAGTCAAGAGGATGTCTCTATTTTTTTTAGAAAAATGGGAATCCCTCTTGTTAAAGGGTTTGATTACATAAAATCATAAGAAGAAATTAGGTTCTCATCCTTCCTTTTGCTACTACATTGATTAAAATTCTATTACTTTTCAATTTTTTATCAAGTCCTTGGGTATTAATAACATCATTAATTATTTCAATAATAAAATATTTTTTTATTTCTAAATATATTCATTTAATGTTAAAAATGTTACAATTAGTATATTTTTATTTATGACTAAATTTTTTATCATATATTTTTAGTTTTAGTTTCTACCCATTTTTAATTTGTACCAATTTTCTTTTCAGTATTAATTTGTATCCATATATTAATTTCTTTTTGTGCCCATATTTTTTAAAGTTTATTCGTAGTTGTACCCATATATATTTTTTATTTGTACTTTTTATTTTGCTAAATGTACCCATGCTAATTATATGTACCCATTCATGTAAAACTTTTTAATCTTAAAATGTACTCATTCTTAAATATACCAATTTGTTATATGTAAAATGTACCATTTTTTTTATATAAATCTATTCTCTAATCCATTTTTAAACTTATATGGGTATATTCTTTTTTCTTTGATTTCAAATTGTATCCATGTCAAGTTTAATCGAAGAAATTTACTAATTTTATTAAGCCTAATATTTTTTTTTTTTTTTTTGTGATTTTGAAGAATGTACCCAATTTTTTATACAATAATTTTTTTGGTTAACTTTGATGAAATGTACCCATTTTTATATACACACACACACACACACAATAATATATTTATATTTTAATATTTTAAATCCCACAAATTATGGTTTTTTTATTTAAAATCTCATTTATATAAACAACTAAAATTAAAAAAAATATAGTAACGTACATAGAAATAAATTATCACATTAATTTCAAAGACCTCGATCAAAAATTAAAAACCAACAAGGTTTTAATCAAATAATGTTCGTAACTAAGGACCGCATCCAAAGTATCCCAAATCATAATTACCGGATGTTTGAATCTTTTGAAGTTTTAAATATCACGCCGTTGATCACTGGTGAAAAGAGGATCAATTGATCAACAACTCAAAAAGTTTGCATGTTTTTAGGATAAGTTATCTATTATATATAGAGGAAAGATCACTTACGTACACCCAACGCAACTATGGTAGCATGTAAGTCTAAAATTTAACACAATAGAGATTAACTAACCCTATAGCTAAATGCAAACCAAGAAGTAGTAACTTCTTTTAATGTAATATACAAGTCAATTATGATAGATTTTGAGAGAAGGCAGAGGGAAATGAGTAGGTTATTGGAAGGGATGCCTGAGTGTGGAGGATGAACGGAAGGAGTAGTCAATATTGTTTGGTCCTCCCCTTTTGTCTCTTTTCTTAGTGTAATTGAGTACCAAAGCCATACTCATTTATTTGGCTTCATCTTCTTCCTCACCGTCATGATTGGTAATACCATCATTATCAACGGCAGTGGTGGTATTTTGTCCAACTTGAGCTCAGCCACTTCACATGGCACCCTTAACTCTACCTGGTTGGAGACACTTACACTTGCTGCAAGGAGCTAAATTGGATGAATGGATCAAACCATATGCTTTTGTTTTGTTTTCACAAAAATATTCTTTACGCACTCCCTCTTCTACCAAAGAAAGAAAATCTAGAATATAATCAACCTTTATATTAAAACGGAAATTGTTCTCTCATCAGGCTGTGTAAATTTAGACATTAAGTGTTTATTTTGATCAAAATGTTTAGTCTAGATTTACTGTCTAACAGTACAAACATAGAGATTTATTTGCATGCAACATAAGTCTAGTAATAGAACAATATCGACACGAAATGACCTAATACCGGCCAAAGAAAGGGAGATGTCAGTGCCTCTAACATCATCCAACGTATACTTTTTACAATATTGGACCATATATAGGGTGTATAAATTCTATGTTATCATCATATACTTTGTGTAGGTGGTACACATGCAGTGTGAACATTATAGGCATGTATTAGAGTGGGCATAGATAGAACTGGGTACTTACTAGTCCCTCATCATGCCCCTTTGGATATGGGATATGTTTAGCCATTTGATTATTAAGACTAGGACCAAAGCAGGCTTCACTCATGATTTCTTGTGTTACTATCTCCTCAGTACTTATATACACCATGAGATGATGAGAAGAAGACAGTCAACAAGCAAATGAAGCTCCCACCATTTTCAAACATGATCTGATTGCTTTCACTTATTGGTTTTTTTTCTTACAACTTTCGAATCTTTTGGCTAGTTTGTTTTCTTTGCAAGTTTAGTTTGGGTGATCGATGGGCATGATGCATTCAAGTGTCAGACACACACACACACACACACCAATTCATCACCTTCAATACTTAGTTTGCTAGACATGGCGCCACTATTGAGAATAGTTTAGGACACATAAAGAATCAACTGATGCACACTAGAGACCTGGAAATT